TAACGACGGCTGGTCTTTGTATTTTGCACTCCCATCATACACCAGACGGATCTCCGTCGTTGATCCGGGTTTGAATACCGGGTGGTGCGACAGGTAGTGCACTGGGCTTGATTCTGAATAACGTACCTGGCGTGCGTCAACCTTCTCGATAATACCAGATTCCAGTTGTTTCGCAATCAACCCATCATACTTCAGGAGAAGTTCTGGGCTCTTCAGCGAGGTGAGGATGTTGAACGTCCGGGTTCTTGCCAAAGTCTTGTTGGATGGGAGTTCACGTTGGTCATCCCGATTCCAAGGCAGCCTGACAGTTAGACGGCCGTCCTGAAATTGAATATCATCGAGAAACTGGGCTTTTGCCTTAGCGGCTTCCACTTTGGCTTTAGTGGTATCGGACGACTCCGTGATTCCCAAGTTCGTTAACGACCAAGGGTCCTCGGATTGAAGCTGAGACAGCACGCGGAAGTTGTCCGCGATGCCAGGGCTGTCTCCGTCTCGTTCAGCCATAAATGGAACTGGGCTTGTGGGTGCTGGACGTATATAAGGAGCAAGCTCCTTTTTAATACTAATTCTGGACGTTTCGAGCGAAGCGGCCTTAACCCTGAGAGCGTCTGGTATGTGGCACGGCGCGTAGAGCTCGGGCTCCACGAACTCGCCTTCAGTAATGAGTGGTAGCACGCCGGCAACGCAGCGCGGCATCCCACTCAAAACATTACCATACACAAACTTCTCGACGGCCAGACCGGATGGCAATCGAATTGCTGGGCTATTTGGCATTTTCAAATTATTCAGTATGTCTTGCCCAATTAAGAGCTCACACTGAATTGAATGCCTGAAATTGGGATCTCGTTGGAGTTCAATTTCATGCTGGGCGATAAAGTCAAGGTCGGCTTCGGTGAGGTTTTTGACGCCAACACCGACTTTTGCGAGCATTGTCACATCAATAGGAAAAGTTCCTATTCCAGAGAAGGTTATCTCTGATTCAATCACTTCGGAGTGAACAACTCCGTGTAATTGATTGATGTGTCGAACCGTCCTTCCGAGATCAGGAAACCCAAAAGCTTCAAAGACATTGGGGTCTAGGAAACTAAAGGATGAACCTGAGTCCAGGAAAGCATCGAGTTGTATATCTCGATGTGGGTCCGAGGGATTCGCGATGGTAACACGAAGGACCTGGAGCTGGGAAAATTTGCTGGACTTTTTCTTTCTGGGCTTTGGGAGACTTGACTGAACAGTCAACTTAGTGGTCCCGAAAAAGTCGGAACCGCAGAAGCTTGTCTCGTGCTGGACTTCACCATCACTAGCGGATCCCGAGTCTTCAACTTCCGAGTCCACAGCAGTGCGAGTGTTTCCACGGTCGCTGTTGTAGCTGCGTGCGGAGTCACGGCTGCTGGAGCGGTACCTGCGTGATGGAATTTCTGGGCGTTTGGTCGGAGTACTCGACGAGTCTTTTACCGGTGTATGGTGTACCGGTTTCTCAGCCGAGTCCTTCGAGCTGGACTTTGTATGATAAGGCTTAGGAGACGCTTCCGCGTTTGCCTTATTTGCTGGACTTTCTGGGCGTTTGGCAAAACTGCCATGCTGGGCGTTATCGCTACGGTACTTCCGGTGGCGATCGTAGTGGTCCCTGGACCTGCTACGAGTGTCACGGAACCCGCGGTCCTTGCTTGAGCTGTGGCGTCGCCTCGACTCGCTTTGCGAATCAAAGTTGACGTTTTTTGGCTCGTGCAAGTTGTGGAACCGAGGGTGGTGCGGGGCACCGCAGCGGTCACAAAGCTCTGAGCTGCACCGACCTGTCTCATGATCCGTTTCCAGGCAAACACGGCACCGGTACTGTTCCTTGACCAATCGGAATTGCTCACTCGTCCCCTTGAACTTGGCGCAGTCGACTGGGCGGTGTCCTTTCTCGCTGCAGAAGGGGCAGCGTGTCGTGGCGGCCTGGATCACATAGCGGGACAGTTGCGTTCGAGCAAGTGCTGATGGGCATTAGAGAGACAGTCGACCTTGATGCTCGTCGCGGCCTGCTGCAGCTCGATCTTTTGCACTTGACCGGAGATGTTCTCGGTCACTCGCTTGGTCATCCCGTCGAGCATCTTCTGCATAACGTCGACCGTCACACCAACCTGAAACTGGGCGTCCCCCTGAGGGTTTAGCAGCTTCGGTTTGATCCTCAGCTTCTACGCCCGCGGGGTGCTGGACATTATCATCTTGATTGTGATCAAGGTGATTTTCAGTCTGGGCATTGTACTGGGCGTTCTCGTCCGGTTCTGGGATCGGATCCCCGTTGGGACCGATACCGGGCATCTCGCCACCACCGGTAATCAATCGATAAGCATCGATGATTTTGGAACGAGTGTCTAGCATTTCTGCTAGACAAAGAGCACCACCTCGTGCCATAAAGGCCTCGTGTAACACGAGTTGGGCGGGATCGACTGGGCGTGCAACCAAGGGGCGCATAACGCACACCCTACGGTTGATTTGCTGGACGGCTTGTACCTGACTGTTTGTCAAAGGCTTGTGGTCCCGATTGCGCAGGGTAGCCAATCGGTCCGCAGTGGCAAACAGCTTCTCGGCGTTGCTCTTGAGCCCCGGCCAGCCGTCCAAATACGCCGTAACAGTCGCGATGCCAACATCAGCCATTTCCGACTTCAGTTTACCTGAAAGTAGAATGCTTGATCTTTGGCGTCCGCGAGTCACAGCGATTGAACGAATGACACACAAAGGACAATCAAAAGCAACGCGGAAGTATATCAGGATTTACGCTGGACGTTCACTGAGAAATTCTTCTCAATGTGTTGGGCTTTGTGGAAGTGTAGTACATTTATATGTGGGGGTGAACACAAACGGCGTCACACATCCAATATAAAACTTCCTACTGGGCATTAGAAAAGGATTTAACCACGGGGGCAGATAATATAGCATCCGCGCGCACTCATGATTAAGTTTCCTTTTGGCTGGACGTAAAGAAGAAGTTATCGTTACGAGGGCAGACAATATAGCATCCGCACACAAGCGTAACGAAACTTTTCTGCTGGGCTTGAGCATGATAATGAGGGCAAACAATATAGCATTCGCCACAAACATTATCTGCCCCGCGGTGCGAAATGCATTCGACCACAAACATTTGAAAATCAAATGTTTTGATGGGCTTTTTACCTTGCTTTCCTCAAAATGTTTGTATTTCACGATCCATTCCTGCAATATTTCCAGGGATTGAGCGATGAACCATCATTGTAGGCCATACATCTCTTCGCGGCGTTGCCGTCGTCGACTCCCTCCTTGGTTTCTTGTGGAATCTTCTTCAGCGCGGTGTTTTCCTTTTGAAAGAAGGAAGAAACTTGCTGGACTTTGCTCCCAAAGTGAGAGAAACAACGGAAATACCGTTCTGGGCTTTTATCAACTGCTATCTGGGCATCAGCTGGACATAAAGGAGTTTTCCTTGGAAAAAAAAGGAAAACTTGCTGGACTTTTCACTAAAAGAAAGGTAAAAAAGGCTAAATAAGTGAGTATTAATACTAACTAGAGCAAAAGGGGTTAATTTAGTAAAGTAAAAAAGCATTTACAGGAAAATTTGAAACCGAAAAGACGAAAGGACGAAAAACTAGGGTGGGAGGACCGTGCCTGTGCGGGCAGCGTGGGGGCGCGCAATAGGATTTTGCCAAAGGGGCGATAAGGCGAGCACTAAAACGCATGCCCAAAAGGGGCTTTTGGGGTAGTATGACGATGTTGATCAACGCATACTTGTATTGAAAACAAAAGAGGACAGTACCTAACTAGGCAAGTGCCAATTCTAAAAGTAGCAGACAATCTCCACGGCAAGTTAGGAACAAAACCAGGCATCTCTTCGGAAAGATTCTACGCGAGTTGGAAACAACGCGGAGCATTTTCTTGGAGAAGTCGATTGACTGGGCGTAAAAGAAAAAGCTAGTGAGTGTTGGTGTACCCTAAAAGGAAAGTGGGTCTCTTCCACGGCAAGTTAGAAACAATGCCAGGCATTTCTTCGGAAAGTCAGACGGTACCAATGCTGAAATTCCTCAGAAAAGTCAGATGACCTACTCCTGGGCGTGAAAAGCAACAGCCACCGCGGTAAGTTAGAGACAATACCGGGCTTCTCTTGCGAGAGGCATTGCAGCTGGTCTTTTTGGAAGGGAAGCGACATCAACGACCCTCACACAGCAAGTTAGAGACAATGCCGGGCAGCCCTTGCGGGCCCTAGAAGGAAGTTGAGCGCTTCAGGCAATGTCGACAAGTAAAACTTGAAAGACAAGGCCAAATGATTACACCAACAAACACAAATGATCTAGAAAGATGCTGGACGTTTGTTCTGGTCGTTTTGCCGAGTTTTAGACCGATAGCACTGGAATTCTAGACCCGAATTTGTATCCCAGACGCACCATGTCGAAAGTAATAGTCTCCCTACGCCAAATCCTCTACTATAATAGATCCTGGAGGAGGGCTCGGGTTGCCACACTAATACTTAAGACTGTGCCCCTTGGGCCCCGCTCGGAAAACCCTGCATCCGGTATAGAACACGGACCGGGAGATGGCAAGAGATCCCAAGAAGCTTGACAAGAAGTCACACAATGTTCAGTGGTAGTTTCTACAATCGTGTATTAGAATCCAGTGCATTTCGGTATAGAGAACACAAGATATAAACATAAAGTTTATCGGCAGTATAAACCATTAGAATACAAATACACTCATCGTTGTATCAAAGGGACAGGTTAAAGTGTTGGTCTTACTCGCTGGGCTTAGGCAAAAGCTGCTGGGCGTAAAGCAAAAGATAGCTGGGCTTTTGCTATCGCAATACCAACACAGACCTGGTCGTAAACCCTAATAAAATCCGTCAGTTCGTCTGGTCGATAAATACGAAAGCTGCTCCGCCCCTCTCCGGGGGAGGGGGCGCCGCGCTACGGTAACGTACACCTTTTAGCAAACCATCGAACGTTGCAGCATAATGCTGACAACTTTCGACAAACCTACCTCTAATTTTTCTTTAATTAGTTTATCTCTAATCCATTAAACCGATTTCCGTGAATTTAAATTTAATTATATTGCCCTTAAATGTTTCAAAATACTTACGTAAAAGAGCGCAAATTAAATATCTTGACTCGAGCCCGGCCAATATCGTGATCACTAAAATTTTTGATTTAATTGTAAGCCTTTTGTACCTATATTCCCGGCAAAACCGCCGAAATTCTGCAGCGCCGCCCCGACGATAATCCGGACCGGGACACTGTAGTTTTTCTGAAGACATTTTTTTGAGAAAATTCAGCGTTTTTACGCCGGTACGATTTCATACTTTGACTAAGCGCTTCAGACGCAAAAATTATAGTCTAATGCGTTCTTTCTCTACCCCGTTCCCTTTCTCGCTCTCTCTCTCTCTCTCTCTCTCTCTCTCTCTCTTCGCTATTGCTTTCGCTCTCTCTCTCTCCCACCCACCGTTCCGGTATCCTTCCTCGTCTCGTCAATAATCATGGCGAACATCGTGCCAATCAGCCCGCAAGATCCACCCGTCGCGCCCCAAATTGCTTCAGCTGCGAAGAACCTAGAATTAGGATTTAAGGCTTTGAAATGATACAATTAGATCCCTTCATTTTGCGGAATTCATTGGCTTAATGAAGTCCAAAATGGAACCCACCAAATATAAACGTTAATATGGCGGTACGTAAACGTAGCGATGACGTACAGCACCGCATAAATACAAAAGCCGCAGATCGAGAAGATTAAAGCTGGTTTGCGGCCTGAACAGATATAAAATCAATGATTTCAGTGTCTCATTTTTACAATTAAAAACCTTACCCGCTCGATCGGCCCAGATTCCGAGCAGCGGCGCCGAGATGAGATTTGGGATCGAATTGGCAACCTGGAAAACCACGGAATAAAATTTTCGTGTTTTATAAATTTAAAAAAAACGTGTTTCACAAAAATACGTATAGAAACTGACCGGGTAATATTTAATATGCTGCGGCATGATCGTCGTAAAAAGTTAAATAAAAATTCCTTTAACAAAAGAGGTATCGTTTTGCTTCTTTTTGGCCGTCCTTTTTTATTTTCTATTTTACCATTTACTCGCATTATGTCGAAATCATCTTGCCGAAATTTCATTTTCGACAATTCAGTTTGTCGAAGCTTTTTTATATCGAAACTCACTGTGTCGAAAATATGCCTGTTAAAATTTTAAATACCAAAAGGTGCAATATGCAAAATCCTATCCTATAAGCGAGAAAAGTATGTTTGTTTTCTGTACGGCCGTTTTCTCGGCCGTCACGCCGAATTTCGAGCTGATTTTTGGCATGGAGGTGGAGAACCACATTCGCCAAAAACGCATTTTTTTGTTTTCCGAAATTCTTCCATTTAACACTTTTACAAGCAAAATAGTAAAAAGCCTTAACAAAATGGGCGAGGAGCCGTGGTGTTCGGGGCATAACTCGATTCGCATTTGGAATTTCGGGCTGAAATTTGGACCAGGGATGTATTCGATAGTGGGGATCACGCGCATCTTATTATCTTTACAAATTTTCTGCAGATTCAGACTCAAAAACTTGATTTTGTTAAGTGACCAGAAGGCTTCCCTCCCGGGGCATTGGGTCGGCCTTTTCTGTGCCTCCCCGCAGGCCTTCCCCCGGAACAGAAGAGGGGTTTCCCGCCGCCTGTTCCCATCTACCCCGTGGTGTAGTGGATTCGGTCTACCACGCTTATAGTCTTGGGTTCGGATCCTGGCAAAATCCAACTTTTTGCTTTTTGGTAGTTAAGCAACTAAACATATTTCTGGGCATTCGGGGTGCGGGCTTAGGCCTGGCCCTCGCTCTAGCGCCGTAGGCCAAAGAAAGTGTCCGTGGCCCAGGCTCTCGCGCCGCAGTCCAAAGAAAAGGGCCTTGACCCAGGCTCTCGCGCCGCAGGCCCAATCCTGGAGAAAAACCAGTAACTAGTGCCGCAGGCTCAAAGGATCTAGCGGAACGCTGGCTCTAGCGCCGCAGGCCAAAGAATGGCGCCATTACTCAGGTTCTTGCGCCGCAGGCTAAAAGAAGAAGGTATTCAAATTCATGATTCCTGGACGGGGTCCAGTGGAAAATGGCCGCGAAGCGGTCTTTTTCCACTGGTTAAAAAAATAATCTGGGAAAAATGAATACGGACCAAATGTATCAAGAAATTCTAATTTTCGACAAAATAAATTAAATAACCGACAAAAACAACCCTGACTCTGTACATTATGCTGAAACGTATTTACCGGTACAGTTTAAGTGGGATTTCGCAAAGATATTGACAGTCATGATAACGACTTTGTGAAAGTCTATCGATGAAACATATTAATTTAATCCACCCTCGACACTTTCAAATTTTCCGTACCATTCCAGCTTACAGAGCTACCGTAGCCCACCTGGATCCAGGTCCTCATATGCGCAATATCTTTTTGTAGTTCCATCCCGAAACGGTCGTCATCGGCCAAATCGAGGGTGCACACTGTATCGTTCATGTCCGGAAACTAAACGTATCGATTGGGTTGTAAATTAATTTGGTTTGTATATTTACTATTATACCATTCCTATTATAATTATTTTTAGCTCAAGAGCCGTTAACACCCAACCAGTATTAAAAGATTTAATCAGGAATTTTAAAAAGCCGAACCTGAAACATGAATTTATAATTTTTGACAACTTGCTTTTTCAGGAATTTTTTAAAAAATTTAGAATTATTTTCGAGAACCCCGTAAGTTAGGACTGCGGATTTCTTTTACATAGCATTGGAAAGGGCTTCACCGCGAACGCGACCCGCAACGCATGCCTCCGCCCAAGGCATGCGCGTCGCGTGCCGCGGACATGCCCAAAGACTAGAAATCCATAGCCCTTCCCCGCCTTGTCCGACCCTTTAAAGTGACGGTTTAAAAAATATGTACCAGAGGAATAGGTATTAGAGAAGAAAGGTTGGATCATAATTACTGAGTTGTTTTTGCCTCCGATTCACAAATTAAATTAGCACAATTTAGCGGAATTCAATTAAATTCCAACCAATTTCGACATTTATTCTCTCAAAATTAGGTTCTTTCGCATTATCGGGGGGATAGTATTTTTTCTGTAAACCTAGCACGCAATCGCAAGCATTTTAATAGTTGTTTTAGTAAAATTTGACCAGACGTAAAGGGGAAAAGCTTTCTAAAAACTTTGAAAACCTACGGATTTTAAGCAAAAATTTGTATTTAGCTATTAAAAATTCTATTACATTTTAAAATTGTTGACGCTTAAGAATAGTAAATAAAACATTTAATTGGCACTTCTCCTAATTTAGATTATAGTTTACATATAACAGCATATTAGAAAAATTTGGCTTATAAAGGATCAGCCCCCCCGATAATGCCAAAGTACCCTAAATTAATCGTTAACCGTAGATTTTATAAAGCTGAAAGACATCTCACGGCACAACATCTTATTATACCCTATGAAAATTTTGGATCCTAATTCAGATTTGCAACACCGATTTTAACACCATACCTCCTGGTATCCGAGCTCGACACATCGGGCCCAATATTGGAATTGTGGCTGCGACGTCAGCAGGAAACTCATCGACATGGCCGCCAGAATGAGCGCCGGCTCCACGTTGGTTGCGCGGCATATTCTAGAATAGAAAAATGTGATAAAAAATATGTTTAAAAGCTGTGATCTAAGAAATTTGGAAAAACGCGCGCAATTTCAGAATTTGCCGAAATTCGCTTTAATTGTTTTGACGATCGAAATTAAATGCATATTATAGCGTATTTTAAGGGAATAAAATGCCTTTACTCGTTAGTTAACTTTTCCAGCATTTTCTCTTTAAAAATGCTTATCGAATCTTCGTAAACGTTGCTGTTAGCCTCAAAAATTAAATGTTGCAAAAAACCTCAACGGTAATTCCGGAATTTAGAGTCTAATCACTGGAAATTCGTAGTTTCGGATTAAAATGAATTGAATGTTTGAATTTTGGTAGAAAATCGGTCTTGCTGATCTTAAACGTTATATGTTTTTTATTTCTCAATTCAAATCCAGAACGTTTTGTACCTTAAAAATAGCATAAACATTGAACAGTTTCTTCTATGCGTATGTAGAAAAATGGAGTTTCTATTCAAACTCAATTTTCTTTAGAAAAAATGTTTTACTAATGTCCCTATGCCAAATTAGTGGTGAGGAATCTAGTCCGCCTTTCTCCGCGAAATAATAGTCCGAAATTCGTAAATATTATTCCGAAATATTTGAACCCTTATCATAAAAAATTTGTTTTAAAGAATTCTGGGTAATACGCGCCGCTACCCTTTTTATTCGACACTTGGCGCATGCCTGAGGAAAATGAGCATTACAATTAATAAACTGGTATTGTTATGTATCTTGAAAAACTAAAGTTAATTGAATTGCTATTGATTTCAACATTAAAAACTGCTAGATTGCGTAGTTTAGAGATTATTTAAAGTGCTAATAACCAACTTAATAATACTAAAATATTTCAACAAACACATTATTAAAACTATCATTAATTATTCTATTAACAGTAGAAATGCCGGGTTCTTCCGCATCACTAATAAATAAAAATAAAACTCCTAATAAATAAATGAAATTAAAATAATTAAATCACCTCTTAATCGCTTCGAGCATTCCGTAAATAGTAATATTGGTACTGGTTGGCTGGCCTCCTCGAATTCTTCACCGCGTCATTCCCACTACAATTTTTTCAGCAGCGCAACGATCGTGACGTTTTCTGTAAAAAGTATACCTTCTTCTATTAGCTAAAAAAATGCATAGCAATGGAAAAATTGGAATTATATGTTTTGACGAATAGTGATGTTCAAGGATTCGCGAAACTTTCAATCTGTCAAGAGAGCCGATCGCAACCAACCCAAAAAAAACTTTGATGATCTTGCGTAGTTTGGACCTTTCCGGAAATAGTTTTTGTAGATTTTTCTACAAAAAATCTCTGCTGGCCCCCAAATCAACCCGACAAAGAACACGGAGCCAGCTGAAATCTTTAATTATTGCGGACTTTAATTTTTTATTGCCGCCCATACATAAATGGTCCTGTTATGGAACAACAAAAACCATGATTTTAATTTTTAGCAATTTCAGATTAGGAAATTTTTACGATTCGGTGTCGTAGTGTAGAAGGGCTAAATTCTTAGAAATAGTTACAAAAAAGGAATTAGGAACTAGCCGTCCCGATCAAGTGCTTAATATCGAACCGTTCATACCTACATTAAAACCGCCAAATGCCTCTAAAACGTATGGATACATGAAATTTCAACGATCTTCGAGTTTTGAAAGATTTTACATGGTTTCTGTGCTTTCTGTGCTATAATTTAACGTAAATCCAAATTATGTTAAGCGAAACACAGCTTTTGATGGGAGATTTGCTTTGAACAATTAAATGTAAAACTTAGTTTAAAATTACTCAGGATAGTTTTATCGCTTATATGAAGCCATCGACTTGCTTATTTAAACAAGATTTTGTGGTCCTTTTGGTAGTTTTCGTGAAGTGACGTCCAAGACTTGCAAGTGAATTCAAATGTTTCACAAAAAGGCTATCTTAAGGCGTATTACGGTCCGTAGTGCCTCCCAGACATGTACTGATTATAATAATCATTTTCAGTTCTAACAAATTTCTATTATTCAGCGTTTGTCCGAGCGTAATGTCGAAACCTCAAATGTCGAAATTTTACAATTTAAAAATTTTGTAAAGTGTTAATTTACACAGGCAATCTCCCAGAAAACCCCCAAATCACATGCAAAAAATTTCCGACAGGCGTTAATTTAGCGTCATGAAATTTCTAAATGATGATAAAGAATTATCGAAAACTCTAAACTAAATGAATTCTGCACGACGAATTACATCCGATAAAACATCGCGAAATCGGTTCTTGTCTGAAACCTGGAATTTCAGCAAAAGAATTTAGGAGTTTTAGAAATATGTGTTTCAGAGGTTTTACTTTAGATCTTAATGGTTGCTGCTTTAATAGCATTTCGTCACGACGTTCAAATGCAAGCTTGTGATCAAAACATGCATTTGTTTAGCAGCTTTTTGGTGATGATACCACATTTTTGGAAGAATTATACGTTTCACGAAAATGTGTATCTAAAGGTCGGCGACAACCGCTAATCTATCGTCGTCATGAAATCGACTCGTCAAAAAGTATTTTTTTGCGAAAAGTATCTTTATATAGTATCTACTGCAGCCCTCGCCCGTGCAGAAATCGTCACTTTTGTGGATGGGTTACAGTATGCCAGTGGATACCGTATACCAATCGCTATCGTAAGTCAGCCGTGACAGTGAGCCTATGACTACCGTATTCCAAGGGATACTGTAGGACTCATAGTATAGTAAAAAAAACGGCTACAGCGTCATAATTTTTTACACCGTAAGCCAATGGATACGTAGGACTCATAGCATAGTGCCAGTAGGACTATGCCATAGTCAAAACAACGGCCACAGTACCATAATTGTTACAGTAAGACAGTAGGGACATTACGTAATTTGTTAAAGGAAGAGAGTGGTACAGTCGGAAACTAGATATTTTAAGAATTATTTATCTTCTTCCGGTTACGGTATGGTACTGATTACAGTAAGGAATTGGCTACTGTAATATACAGACTAAAGTATGAAAATCGCTACTTAAAAATGGCTATGGTAAGAAAATCGTTCCAATAAGATAAGGACTACAGTAATGCCAAAAGCTACAGTAAGTTTTACGTTACAGTATGACTGCTGTAAGCCTGGCAAATTTCTCGACCCAGCTTTAAAAATTTCTTAGATTCAATTAAATTCGAAGCTAAACTTTAAAACTCGCCAAAATATCTAAAATCCCTTAGATCCGGAAGTTTAGGAATGGGGGCGGGAAAATCGAAATACGCCCCTTAAAACATTCGCATCGAAAGGCTCTTTGCATATTTGCAGCGCCATTCTGACGCAGGCAAACTTCCAAGGAGCCGCTTGCTTTGCAGGAATGTTTTTTGAAACAACACAATTCAACGCATTTTGCAAAATTTTGAAAGCCTACGGTAGAAATGTTTCAAGCAAGGTTGCAACTTCTGATCTTCGCGTATTGTGAGAACAAAAATTTCACCATGTCCATTTTTAAGTGAAACCTATTTTTTAAACAACAGCGTTTCCTTGTGTAAATTAAAAACATTTACGGAGTTTTCATTTCGAAATTTACAGTTGAAATTGGCGCTTTTGCCTTACTGGGGGGGAAGGGGCGATTACGGGGAACCTAATTTCTCCCAAGAATTCCGGAAATGCCAAATAACGTAATAGTAAGCTTTTGCATTTTTTCAATGAAATTTTACTATGTTTCAAATGGAAACTATTAAAAAAACATAACTTTTCCGAAAAATCTGAATATTTCCTTTTTCGTGATCAAAATTTGCACATTTTAACATTTAG